TGGACACAGACAGTGTGGCTGGATCAAAATGAAGGAGTGAAAGTAAAGTGAAAGGAAATTAGGAGTAGCTTGAGAAGCAACTATTCAGGGTGGTAAAAGCCAAGCATGATCTAAATATCACACTGTATACCTTAAACATATACAGTTTCTATTAAGTAATTTTCAAAAAATGTAAAGTCATAACTCTCAGACAATGTAGTATTACCATGTATCAAAGACTTTATTTAACTTATTAATGAGGGAACAAGTAAGGGGGTACAATCAGTTCAAAAGAGACGCCAAGAACCACATGTTTACATGCAGAAAAAGGGAAGTGAAAGAAATTTACAATAGATGTAAAACCTGGTCTATGTAAGGGACAATAATCAATTCCAACAAAATTTGCATTTTTATGTATTATTTGCATCATTATCTAGAATTACAGAGTTACAATATAGCTCAGAAAGAATAAAATAAAAGTCTGGTGGCTGAGTTGGACAGGACTCCCTCTAATCTTTTTAGCCCATTTTAAAGTCTTTCACAATTTTTTCTAACATGAAGTAGACAATTTTGAACATAGATAGGTACTGGAATTAATAAGATCTGGTGTTAGACTGAGACTTTGAATGCGGAAGGGCAATGAGGGAAGTGTCCAGGAAAATGTCTGCTTTCAAACAAATTCCTAAATGGCAGAAGCTGTCTTCAGTGTCTATCTGGATTTCTCAGCCTAGGTGCCCTATGATTCTGCAGAGGGATCAACACTTCAGAGAAGCAGTGGACCCACTGAATAATTTCTATTTTGAAGTTCACCATAATATACCAAGGACATGGCTAAAAAAGAAATGAAGCAAAATCTATTATTCCCCCAGTGGGATTGTTTCCCTTGTGCTAGATAGCCTAGTGACACCCTGCACAAAAGAGTCATGCATCGCCTGTTAAAGGGGACACATTGGGAAAATCCATCATTAGGTGATTTTGTCATTGTGCAAACATTGGAGTGTACTTCCTCAAACCTAGATGATAGCTTATTACAGCAAAGTTAGACAGCATAGCTTATTATAATCTTATAGAACCGCCATCATATCTGTGACCTGTTTTTGACTGAAACATGGTTATGCAGAGCATAACTAGATGACCTTCTCCCAGCTCAGTGAGAGTTAAGCTAAATGAGAGTCTGAAAATCTTTCAGTCTTGACACGAGTTCTCCCCTCTTCTAAGACCACCAGTGTGAGACTGGACCCATTTAGGGACTTAAGACAGCCAGGGTGAAGTAAGCCGAAAAGTAGATCAAATTTAGTGTCACTGTCATACACCCTTCACCTCATTATATCCGAATACTCATCATTTCTTAAATTCCTTCTAGAATTTGATTTCTACACTCACTCTTAGCCAAAAGACCAAGACGTGTTAGACTTAGATTTTTAACTTAGATACACTCTGAAAGGAACATTTTTCTAGGCCACCCCACTTTGATGTTTCTTCTCTAAAGAAAACAACCATTTAGCTTCTGTGTTAGTTTACTTAACTACAACTTGTACTAAAAATGATAAAAATTATGAGGTCATTCCTTCTGTCTTAACAAGAATTACAAGCATCCTGAGGCAAATAATTTACTTCGGATTTAAAACTCCCATTTACATTATAAAATAACATGTACATTATAAAGTACACACATTTAAAGTTCACTTAATAAATTATTCTGATATTACTGGATTTTGTGTTATTAAGGCTTTTTAAAATAATTTATATAATTTTATTTATGTTTTTAGAGGTTTTTGCCTTAAGGTGCATGTGCTCACCAGAAAGAGAGAGACAGAGACAGTGAGAAGGAAAGTGAGAAATCACCTCCCAGGGAGGATGGCCATGCCGCAATCCCTTCTCCATTCTCCTCCCACGATTTTGAGCACACACACACGTGTGCCCAGGATGAGTTTCAAGCCACAAGGTCCAGGACTCAAACAGCAGTCGGCCATGTGAGAGTTTAGTGGCATAATGGCTACACCATCTGCTGGCCCCTATTTCTTTTTTTTAATTTGACTAGAGAAAGACAGTGAGAGAGAGAGAGAAAGGAAAAGTAAGCAAGCAAGCCACCAGGTCCAGGACTTGAACTACTGTTGGCCATGTGGGAGTAGAGAGCCTTAACCACCAGGCCACCTGTTAGGCCCTATTAAGATTTTTTTTAAAGGTGTCAAAGACCCACCATAAATATTGAGAAATGTCATTTATTTTTTTCTATTTTTCTACAATGCCCCTTCCACATCCTGTTACACTGTCTAGTTCTCTCCATTTTCATTAGTAAGTCCAGAAGTAACTCACCCAGTAGCAATTGTTCCCCAAACTTAGGTCTACCAAGACTAGAATGCTTTCAAGATGATCTTCAAAATTAGTTCTAAGGCAATTCTTCCCTAATGACTAAATTAAGCTGCTAAAAATTAAGTCTGCTTCACTTGCTCTATATGGAAATTGACTGTGCTATCCTCAGTAATACCCAGGATAGAAGATCTGACCCATGTGAGCACTCATGAGAACACTGGGATAAAACATCTCATACTCAGACTCTCAATGTTGCTAAAACTACATTGCCCAGAGTATGGTCACATTCAGATAGAAAGCTCAGAAGATTTTAATAACGTCAAGTCCAAAATTCACATATGCTACCTATGCCTCTAGGATAAAACAATTCCAAGTTTACCAGAAAGCATTTACACCTGCATTGGAATAACCCTAAACATAAAATCACCAATTACACAAGCCCTTCTATATTCTTATTCTTTGTATTCTTAACTCTTCTGTCAAAGTCAGCTTTTACATTCCTTACATTCTCAGAGGCAAGATAAAATATTTCTTAACAGAGGTCAGCAGGTGGCATGGAGGCTAAGGAGCTGGACTACCACATGGCCAATCACAGTTTCAGTCCTGATCTCAGTGGCTTGAAACTCATGCCAGACATATGAACATGCATGCCCAAAATCCTGAGAGGAGAATGGAGGAGAAAGGATTGTGGCAAGAATGTCTTCCCTTGGGGTGGGGGTAATTTCTCACTGTCACTCTCACTATCTTACTCTCGCTGGCAAGCACACATGCCCTATGACAAAAGCACATAAGCAAAAATGTGTCAAATCAAGAAGCAATGCAATCAGATACTCAACAATAAATATGTGAATGCAGAGTGGTTTTTAAACTGTGCTGCTACTCAAAATAACGGTAAAAACCCTCATTCTTTCCATTAAGGAAATATCTGTTTATTTTCTTGACCTTTACAACTTTCGTGTTAATTTAAAAAAAAATATAACTAAATTAAGATAGCTTCCATACCGTTTAAGACTATAATGGTGTTTCTCTGAGAAACCTTTATTTTTCGTCCTGCTGTTTCAGAGTCCTGGAGTCCATTCGTCAGAATCCATTCATTTATCATTTACAGAACCTCTCAAAAATCTCCCACCTCGAATGTAAACTAGTTCAACCACTATGGAGAACAATATGGAGGTTCCTCAAAGATCTACAAATAGAACTACCATTTGAACCAGCAATCCCACTTCTGGGTATTTACCCAAAAGACAGGAGAACGCTCAGTCAGAAAAGTGCTTGCACATCAATGTTTATTGCAGCATTATTCACAATTGCAAAGACGTGGAACACACCTAAATGTCCACAAACTGATGAATGGATTGGAAAAGTGTGGTATATATACTCTATGGAATACTACTCAGCCATAAAAAATAACAAGACCCTGGAATTTGATAGAAAATGGTCAGATATGGAGGATCTATTGCTGAGTGAAGTAAGCCAGGCTATGAAAGAAAGATATTGTATGTATCCACTCAATATATACCGACTATCCGCACTCTATAATAGAGAGCAAAAAATCGGAGGACATAAAAACAGTGAAGGTACTTAATGAGAATAGGACAGTGTGGAATGGGGTAAGTGAAGAGAAGATAGAGAAAGATAGCAAGTGAACAATAGAGAGGCAGGACGTTAGTGAGAAACAGATAGGGCTTATTAACTGTTGATGATGACATATATAGTATTCTCAACTGGATTGGTCTGAGAAGTATTTCATGATGGGTAAAGTATTTTTACAAGCAAAATGAGAAATAGCAATTGACTGTTTTAAAAAGTAATTAGAATAATAAAAATAACGATTGGGGAAAACATAGAAAAGATATTGAATGTTGAAGTGGGGAGATTAATGTCTCTGTACTGACGGACATGCATGGCATTCCCTTTTGGAAAAACAATGTAATACACTGTAAAGTTATATGTAATCCAATGTAATATAAAGAAGATTATGATGATGATAATAAAAAAAAAAAAGAGTAGAACTCCAAAAAAAAAAAAAAAATCTCCCACCTCAGACTTAGTGGACAACATTCCAACTTCAATAACCAACAGACATCATATTACAACAAATTTTAAAACAGCACTGCCAAATCCTCTCTTCAGCATGCTCTCTCCATAAGAAAAATATTGATCAAAGCACTGACTATGTTCTAAGTGGTTAGAAACACTGAGAAAGAACAGATCTTTGGGAGAAAAACTTGACAAAACACAAAAAAAGAACCCACAGAGTAGAAAAATGTTATTAGCCACACCGCAAGAAAGAAAAGTCCCAAATATTTTTTGCACAGGGTAGAGAGGCTGCCTGAATAATAACAATTTGGTTTAACCAAGCAAAATGAAATCATCTTCTTATTAGCTAAGCGAAGAGAACATTTCTCCAATGATAGATTCATTTCCCAAACGTACCCAGGGTTCACAGAATCAAAAGCAACCAACTGTTGGCTTAACTATCTGAAGAACGCTGGGTACAAATAAAAGGCAGCGCATGGACTGTTCTCACCAGACTTTCCATTTAAACATATTTCAGAAGAAAATAAAGGCAGAATAAATGTAGCTGCATATTCAGAATATTACTGTTAGTCATATGTCACGTAGAAAATGTACTACACTTCCAACAAGACTTCACAATCAGAATGAAGCCTTCGAATCATGGAAAAGCTTTTAAAAGTCTTAGTTACCTTTGAAAATCGAGCATTTATCCATTTGGTAAAGGTTTTCTTTTGCACGTCATTGTGTTCATCTGTAGGAGGGAAAAGGAAAGAGAAGGGAAAAGTGTGAGAGTTTTGTAGCACTAACCAGGCACTAAATAAAACCACCTCCATCCTGGGGAGTTTAAAATGTCCTATCAGCAGAGCTCATGAGGCACAAGGACGCCCAGCTAACGCAGAACATGCTGGTGGCAGAGTTCTTCCTTTACAGAACCTGGTCATGCCTGCAACAGAGGGAGGCGTGGCAACTTGTCCAAGGTTCCTCGATCTGTCCCCTTAGCCCTTACCAGATATTAAATTCAGGTTTGTGCCATTTAATCAGGACTTTACTTTCTAACTATCACATAAAATAATTTCAGTAGCCTTGGATTTAAGTAAAATTTCAAGCCTGACAGAAATGTTAGCTATTTAAAACAAGTTCGTGGGATCTTCGATCCTTGCTCTCTTCTGGAAGGAGAGTTTGTAATTATACGGTCAATCCTGAAACAAATACAGCAGCAGCTCCAGAAAAGAGTGCACTTTTACAGATCCATAAAGGTAATTGGAGACCGACTCCAAGACACAAAGGGGATGACTGGTATAAAAAACATGAAACTGCTCTCTTAGAAACCTCCTGATGTTAATGGTGCTGAGAGGTGACCTTCCTTCCTAAAGGACGATGGCTATTCCAGGTTTTAGACCATCTGATCAATGTCACACATGAGCCATGCATTAACCCACAGGACTTGCTTACACACGCTGGATGTCTGAGCCTATATCATCTTACCCGAGAGAGCAGATTTTAACACAAGGTTAACACCATATGTCGGTCTGCAGAGGGCACTATACTGCCCTCACCAGTATAAATGTTATATTAATATCAGTGCTCAGAACACTTAGACAATCTAGTTATTTGTCATACTACCTTAGAAAAGATCTACATACTTAAACATTGCCACATCCACCATTATCCAACCATCTAAAATTTTAAAATATAGAAAGTCATAAATAAATATTAAATTATCTTAATTTCAAGACATTCATACAATTTAAGAGTTTTAAACCATAAAATGGGGAAAACTTTAAGGAAGAAATATTTTATTTCATTTTTCCTTAACCACTTTTAAAAATGTTTAAATCTCTTATTTCAAAAACATGGGACCAGCAGATGGCATAATGGCTATGTCACTGAACTCCCATGTAGTCAACCGTAGTTCGAATCCCAGACCTGGTGGTTTAAACTCATGCCGGGCATGTGTGCGTGTGTGCCCAAGATCCCGAGAGGAGAATGGAGGAGATGGGATTGTGGTGTGGCCATCCCCCCTGGGGGGTGATTTCTCGCTTTCTGCTCTCTGTCTCTGTCTGTCTTTCTGGTGAGAGCATGCGCCGATAACAAAAACCTCTCCAAAAAAAAAATGTATATATATATATACATATATATATATGTATATATATATATATATAGTAAAATATCTAATTTTATCT